GGAAGCTTCTGCCCAGCTTAGGGAGGAAGGCACGATGTTCATGCATGCAACGTCAGGATGTCCCAATGTCACACACATGATGTGCTGCCCCATTGCCCTTGCAAAGCTGGTGCCTCTGCCTCCAGCTGTTCCCCTACGAAAATTTTCATAGAGAAATCCCAATGAAAATCCTCATTATTATTTATTTTACATGGCTGTTATTATATTTTAAAAATTTTATATATGGATGTTTTATGATGGCTTATACTTGTAATGCCTAATAAAGGTTTAACGAAGAAGAAAAATTTCACCACATGCCACTGCTCCCAGTAATACTCACAACCAGGAAGCAACATGGAAGTGGTACCAAGAATGGTGCCACAGCTGCAAATTAAACCAGAACAACCTGAATCACAAGCAAGATATTACTGGAACATGGCACGTGTCGGCTTAGTTTTTAAAGGTAGGTTAAAAAAACAGGGCTGTGCACAGCCCCATCAGCCATGACCACAATCACTGGGTCCCAAATCAGGACACTCCATCCAGAACCACCCGCACCACCCTGGAACTGGCCCCAAAGTAGTTCAGGTGCAGGGCTTATGTTTATTTGGTTAAAAACAACAACACCAAAGCCTAATTAAACGTACAGCCATGAGAGGCAGAGGAAGGAAGCAGAGAGCAGGGGTGTCGATTTGGTGGGGCACTGCTTTATAAGTGCCCCACAAAAGCTGCTAGCAAAGGGGCACCCTGCAGAAAGAAAACTCTGGCAGTGGGCTCCATCCTTTTCCCTGGCTCAGGCCTTGACCAAATCCTGCGCATAACCCTGTTTAAAAAATCTGCCAGCACCACCAAATTGCAGGTGGTCTTGGGGGGCCCTAAACCAGAGGGGTGTATGGAAGCTTTGGTAACAGGACTGGGAGATAAAAATGTAAATGCACTGGCCATTAGCTTATCTGGACTACAACCTGTTTGTGGAATTCTTATACTTGCATCTCCACAATCTGAAATAATTAACAGTTAAAGCTTAGTCTCATTATGAATTTAAACTCTATAAAGTTCCTATTAACTGTACCCCTCAGCTTACAACCCGAAAACTCCATTAAGAGAACTTCCTTCAACAAAGAACAAATTGGGCACTTTCAAGCACATTCGTTACAGGAGCTAAATAACATGTGTTAACACTCAGTTTGTGTCTGAAACCAAACAAAAACTAGGTCAGATAGCTTGTCAGGCAAATCTGTATTTAGAAAATGGTAGAATTACTTCAAGACAGCATATCCTGGCAAAATGATGGTATGGGGACATCTGTATCAACAGTTAGTATGCAAGAGAACTGGTTCTACTCATGGGAAGTTCTGGAATGAGATCTTCATGCTAGTATGAATTCATCAGTTGCCAGGACTCTCAATGACATATTACATACTGCTATACCTGAAACCAGGCTGTGTATGGCTCCAAAGATTGCCGCACATAACAGATACCTTCCTCCAACTGTGTATGCGTATCTTCCACATACTTTGATTTTGGTGATGGACTAGTATAGAGTGAAAGCTGTGAACAACAGAAAACACAAAGTTACTTGCTATTGTAAAATTATTCCACAATAATAAACATTAAGTAGTACTGCATTACTTCAGGACATCAATGTGTATGCAGAATAATTGCACCCCAGAAAGAGGAACCTTCTTAATTAAGATGGCCACATTGAAACTGGGTGCTGGCTAACCGAAAACAATTGTTTACAAAGACAACAGACTCTTACCTCATCAACTTTCAGTAAGTTCTTTTTAGATGCATCATTCTCAGGAGCAGCGGCATAAACTTGTACACCAAGGAAGCTTAAACTAGCAGGAGCAGCCATCAATTGCTTTACCTAAATATGATGAAAACATTTATATTTTATGGGCTCAAGTGGAATTATATTGCACATCCCATTCGCCTAATATACATGCAGATAAAAAAGCCGGGGTGTTTATCAGAAGTGTGTAGTTAGAGAACCCTGTCCACTGTTATCAATCTACATTTTTGTCAGTATTTCTGTTTGCATTTCTTGAGGATAGCATGTCAATAACGTTTCTGTTTTCAGTTAAGCCTGAACTGGAGCACAGTGGAAGCAAATCAATATTTTCTGATAAGCTTCCATGGAAATCTAGCTTGAAAAGCTGTGCTTTCAATTCCTGACACTCAGCTGCCATCAGAAATGAAACTTGCCCATGACTTCTGTAATTGTTTATTGTTATAAATAAATATTAATTACCAAAGAAGAGAACATACTAACCTTCAGAGGTTAGGGAAATTAGCTTCTTTGGAGATAATCTGTAAATACCAATACCAACATGTTTGCTACAATAAATTTAGGAATGAGGCAAGATGAATAGAGCACACAAATTATATAAATGTCTGACGGCATAAGGACTACAAACAATTTGTATCACTCTTCCAAGGATTTTAAGCCACCCATATTCAGAACAATGTTCAGGCATCACTTAAAGAGAAAGAAAAGCAGTGTGTGCAGATCCTTGTTTGTCTAGATCCTTATTTGACTACCATAATAAATTGGGCGGGGGCAGGGGGGGAGAGAACACTTGGGAGACAGAGAAACTTTATGTGCACACTTGAGCTCCCTCATGGCATTGATGAATTTGAGTGAATACTTCAAATAGAAATCATACTATCTGTAACATGTTCTCTTAAAATAAACAGATGCCTAAAATAGAACAACACTTCAATCGTCATCAGGTTTTCTATGGTTGCCACCCAGTGCACTTTTATTTGGAATTAAGCATCACTGAAGTTGGGGAGGGGAAAAATTTCTGTAAACATGCATATAATGTAGAACACAAAGCTCTGCAAATGCTCAGTACTGAAAATGGCCCAGAAAGTTTAATTTAAACTTTAACTGTTAATTCATAGACTATCTAGTGTGCATAGTGTTTTATCATAAGGAAGCCATTTAATAGCCTCTATTTTTACAACCATGTTCAAAACTACCATTGAATTATTTATTTTGTTCCACAAAATGTATTTACTTGATTGTACTGAAACCACAGCAGTTAAATTAGCGACGAAGATAGAATAACAAAGTCTTCAAATCCAAGAGTTCCACAAATTGGTTGGGAATATGAATTACATCAAATACAGTTAAGTGAAAAAACAGATCATGATTTTTTTGACAATTACATTGTTAATTAACATACAAAACACCTTTCTATTTCACAAAGCTTGGTCCTATAGCTCCCCCTGTAGAAAGGCAGGATGTATAACCCTAGAAAACAAGCAACTACTGTACTGTATTTTCAAACACCTGAATATAAACTGAAACATTTAAGAAACATACAAATCAACAATCAATGCTCCTCTGATGAGGGATGAATAGTTACTCCTATAACAGATCCGAAATAAGTTTCATTGTCCCTCTGTATCAGAAGCAAAACTTCACTCAGGTTTGTAGGCATTGTGAATTCTAATACAAATTACATGGCAGACCATCTTCCTTTAAAAACAAACAGTTCCATATATTGTTTGCCCCTGCAGTAAAGGTAAAGGTACCCCTGCCCGTACGGGCCAGTCTTGCCAGACTCTAGGGTTGTGCGCTCATCTCACTCTATAGGCCGGGAGCCAGCGCTGTCCGCAGACACTTCCGGGTCACGTGGCCAGCGTGACAAGCTGCATCTGGCGAGCCAGCGCAGCACACAGAACGCCGTTTACCTTCCCGCTAGTAAGTGGTCCCTATTTATCTACTTGCACCCAGGGGTGCTTTTGAACTGCTAGGTTGGCAGGCGCTGGGACCGAACGACGGGAGTGCACCCCGCCGCGGGGATTCCATGCAGTATCCCATGCAAAACAGCAAAAGCAAAGAGGCTTGTGGCACCTTAAAAACTAATGGATTTATTATGGCATAATAAAACATCTGTGCATTACAGTTCACTTCATGATAAGTTACTTAATCTATTCATATGTAAACATAGGCTCAGAAGTCCTACTGAATTCTACGGGGTTCACTCCACATGAAGTGGTGTTAGGACTGTAACTCGCATCTTTGAAGGTGATAAAGGATTCTCTGGTTGTGCTACGAACTAAGGCTGCATCCCTACAGCCACTTACTTATCTGAGAGCACGTCTCACAGAATTCAATGGTATTTACCTCTGATTTGACGTGTGCAGGATTGCACTATAAACAGCCCCTCTACAACACAAGACTACAATCCTAAACTCGCTTGGGAGTCAGCGCCATCAAAATGCATACGATTTAGTCGTTTTAAAAAGCCTGCTAGGAACTCCGCTAGGAAATGAACACCGACAGGGGAACATCATCACTGGGGGTTTTTTTATCGCCATATGCGTACATCCAATTGAGCCGACAGCACCAGATCGCATTTAGATTCTTTTCTAAATGGGAGGGAAGAGGGGATTTGCGCGAGGGCTGAAATGCGAGTTGAACTCCGTATTGTATTGACCCAACATCGAGAGGGCTCCCTATGTGCGCGGGCGGAGGATTTGGAATTAGAAGAGCAGTTCACTCTCCGGTCCGCCTTGCCCCCCCCCCCGCCCGCGGAGCCCAAACGGCCACACAAAAGACAAAACTGAAGAGGGCGGGGCTGCTAACCCCAGCGCGTGCAAACCTCCGTCTACACTCCCTTTTTTAAAAAACCGCCGCGATTGACCGGCATGTTTCCATGGCAACCGCGCGGTAATACGAGCGCGGCGCCGACCGTGACGGCGCAAGGGCGCGCGCGCGCACACACACACACAAACAGTTCGAAAGTCGCGCGCGGCGAAACAGAGCCGGGGCTGGGTGCGGAGGAAGAGAAAGAAAACTAACCACAGTGATTTCGTTCAATTCCCTCCTCAAGAACTACAGGTGAAACTTTCTCACCTTGAACATGCCGAGGACAGCGCCGCTGCGGGAGTGCGGCGCGACGGCAATGACGCACAAACCACGCGCCGCGGACGGACGCCAGAGCGGCACCAGCCCGATACGAGGGAAGGGGGAGGAGAGACGTCGCGCGCGATTGGTGGGCGGTGCCCAACTTGGCTTCCGGTCGCGTTGTGCGTCCCTGTTGCTAGGCGACCGGCTAAAGGAGTTCGACTGCGGCGCCTGCGGGCTCTTGAGTCGAGGATGGCCACGATATGGAGCAGGAGCTCTCACCTGGCAGGATCCAAGAATGACAGCAGAGTAAAGCGGAGGTAAGGGCGCTGTTTGCGCTAATGAAATTCCCTGTTGCAAAATGCGTCTAGAACAATGGGAGCTTCAAACATTGTCAGAAACTTTGTGTCTGTGACAGAGATTTGGACATGCTTCAAGGTTCAGACGATGGGAAACCGTAAAATTAAAAATTACAATTTGGAAGTTAATTCGACCTTTTTTATTTTAGTTTTTTATTTTTATTGGATTATGATTTGATGTGTTAATTGGATGTCTTTTATTGGAAAATTAATAAAAATGATCTAACAAAAAAAAGAAGAAACTTTGTTTCTGTAATAGCTGCAAAACAGAAAGCAACAGGGAAGCTCTTTCCAGCATGTGGGTGCAGGCTGGCACAGAGCTTGTATGAGACCTGGAGGGTAAAGGTCTTGTTAGGGTAAAGTTATAAACTCAAACAGCATAAGTTTGGCAGGCCCCTGGCGGACCCACCCTGACTGCCATAGCTCTCTGAGGTCCAGGACAAGTGTACCCAGCTGTGCACTCTTCCTCCCTTTATGGGCCTGTGGGGATGTAATTGATTTCTGGCGATAATTTTAAGTTCCAATCACCATAGTCTGGTAACTTTCAATTTATTCCACCAGGTCTCATCCTGACACAGCAGCAAAAACTATTCAGAAGGCATGGTGGAGTCACACAAGGCTACGGTTGTATACACTCATGAAACATACAATTCGGGCAGCGGTATGCTCTTGCATGTGGTTTGGGCTGACTAGATGTAGTCCTGTAGTTTAATGTGTCATTATAACTGTATTATTAAAGTGGTTTCCCTTTGTATGGCTGCATTGAGGAATAGAAACAAGCTCTGGCTTGCAAGGGGTATCCCTCAAGGTATCATGAATATATTTGTTTTGTTTGTAACAGTATACCTACAAATATTCCAAAGCCAGCAGGGACCCAGTGATAATACTTTCATGCTCTCTGTCACTGTTGGCAATAGAAATCTGCTAACACAGAGGGGCTGGGCTGTGTGGTGTAACCAGAAAATTGCTGCATCCTAAATCACTGAGGAGCAAGAACTGATTTTTGGCCATTTCCCCATGAGGAATAATTATTGCTCCTGAAAGTAAAACAGTACAGATTCAGAAGCTCAGAGATGGGCCACAACTGGTTTAAGGTTTTAAAGGTCTAACCAGCACAGTGAATTGAGGCCAGAAATAATTTGGTAACCAATGCAGAAGGCTACTATATTAGATAATATAATTGGAGTCAAAATCATAGTAGATGCATTTGTTTGAAGTTTGCCAACCATCTTCAAAGCAACTAGATATAGAGTGCATTACATTATCCTGTATGTGGTTGAAGCATGAGGCCAACCCCAGTTACTCTAGATCGTGCACAAGTTGGTGCACAAACTGAAGTTGATAAAAAGCACTCCTGGCCATTGTTACCACCTGGTTATCCAGGGACCAGGCTGTGACCAGAAGTACCCCCCCACACACACACACACACAAGCAATCTTCATTACTCTTCATTACTCCCAGTCTTCCATGCCCTTCAAGCCAAATAAGCAAAATAATGACCCAACTGTTACTTTTTTCTAATTTGTCTGAAGATGTGTTGGTTTGCTGCAGACCCTGTAATAGCCAAAGCCTAGACGTTGACAGGCACATGTTCTTTTTCAGACTCAAAAGGTGACTATATAAATGGGCCTTCAACAGAAAATTGCAGTGTGCCATTTTCCTATTCAGGGTTCTAGTTAGCCATGCATTCTTCCTGCATACTCCATTCTATTACCTTATCCTCCAAGTTTCCATTCCCATCCATATAGAGACTCATTCTGTGGTCATTGAGTTTATTTCTTATTTTGTTTTGGGGAGTAGTTGCTGTTTACAAGATGGGTTGTCCTTAGAATTTTTCTTAAAAATAATTTCTACTTCTGTACATTGATGTTTGTTTAAAAACAGTTATACCAGGCAAGTTAAAGGTAAAGGTACCCCTGCCCGTACGGGCCAGTCTTGACAGACTCTAGGGTTGTGCGCCCATCTCACTCTATAGGCCAGGGGCCAGCGCTGTCCGCAGACACTTCCGGGTCACGTGGCCAGCATGACAAAGCTGCATCTGGCGAGCCAGCGCAGCACACGGAAACGCCGTTTACCTTCCCGCCAGTAAGCGGTCCCTATTTATCTACTTGCACCCAGGGGTGCTTTCGAACTGCTAGGTTGGCAGGCGCTGGGACCGAGCAACAGGAGCGCACCCCGCCGCGGGGATTCGAACTGCCGACCTTTCAATCGGCAAGCCCTAGGCGCTGAGGCTTTTACCCACAGCGCCAGTTACAATATAAAATTACAAAATTAAAGTCAATTAAAACACTTCAGAGTTGGAGTCCTGCACTTCCATAGCATGCTGATACTTCCCTCTTCCTTTACTCATGACCTGGGCTGTGACTGTAATATATTCTACCTTTACTGTAAAATTGTTGCATTTCCATGCACTCTTGTTTCCGTTACAGTGTTCCGTTGCGCCTGAAGCAGTTTAGTCATGTTGGCCACATGACCCGGAAAGCTCTGTGGACAAACGCTGGCTCCCTCAGCCTGAAAGCGAGATGAGCGCCGCAACCCCATAGTTGCCTTTGACTGGACTTAACCGTCCAGGGGTCCTTTACTTTTTTTTACCTTCATATGTACATTTTATTGTTATCTGCTCTAGAATTGTTATTCACAGTGAAGAGCAAGGTAGAGATTTATTTTTTTCTTTTTCTTGATTTTCCACACAACAAAAAAATTACATTCCAACCTATTTATACAAATCCTTAAATTCCTAACAATGAGTTATTTTGTTTAAGTCTTTTTCTTAATTTACAAATTCTCCATATGACTTCCAACCTCCTCACTGAGGGTTCCTCCTTTTTTCTTTTTAATTATCACTGCTTCAGTATGCCTTATTTCTTTAGTTTTGTCTCATATATACTTATTTATTTATTTATTGCAAGATAGAGTTATTTTAAATGCTGCTTTAAAACAAAGCTTGTTGAAAACTCTCTGAGCAAAACATATATTTATTTCAGGAGTACTGCATTACTCATGATATTTTGAAAAGAGTGTGTCCTTTGGAGGCTGAACTTCTTAAAGACCCTACTCTTACGTGCAGAGTTCGATTCAGGTAAAAGTACTACATTTCCATGCCTTGGTTTAATATATTTTGTTTAGTTTAACGGTCTCTTTCTTCACCTTTTAAATGTTACTATAAGGGGTGATTCCAATGGAGGAAGTTTCTTCCAAAGAAGAGTAATTGAGAATGAATTGTTCCTATTGATAAATGAACAAATATATTATTCTACTTTGTGTGGCAGTAGCTTCACAAGAACAGTAGTATACAAGAATCATAAGCATCTCATAGTGATACTTTACTATGAAAAAACACCAATATAGACTCCATCTGAGCAGGCTTATTTTTACTGATGACAGTAACTAAGGCTGCAGTCCTACGTACCGTATTTTTCGCCCTATAGGACGCACTTTCCCCCCTCCAAAAATGAAGGGGAAATGTGTGTGCGTCCTATGGGGCAAATGTAGGCTTTTGCTGACCCCTCTCCAGGCTTCAGGAAGCTCTGCGCAACCCTCGGGAGACCGGCGCGACTTTGCGCCGGTCTCCCGAGGGCTGCGCAGAGCTGCCTGCATTCCGAAGCCTGGGGCGCGCTGAAGAGCGCGCCCGGGCTTCGCACAGCTCTCCGCAAGCCTGGGGAGACCGGCGCGACTTCCCGCTGGGGCTCCCTAGGCTTGCGGATAGCAGGCTGTTCTCGGGGCTGGGGTCGGGGGAAGTTCGGGCTTCCCCTGTGCCAGCCCCGCGCCTGGGGGGGGGAATAAAATTGTTTTTCTTTATTTCCCTCCCCCCAAAAAACTAGGTGCGTCCTATGGGGAGGTGTGCCCTATGGGGCGAAAAATACAGTATATCTTTCTGCTTGGTATGCTGATTTTCAACATGCAGGAGGTGTAGTTAGATAGGCATTTAGACAGCTTATAGTTTGAAATGATATAGACTTTACCAAGTGATTTTACTGAACATATACATTTGATCTTATTTCCTTATAACTATGTCCTAGATTGTTGCCTTAAACACACTCGAGTCCCATCCATAGAGTTCCATTGACTTGATAGCATTGGCAGAGCTGCTGTTAACAGAGGACAGCAAGAGATCTATTTTCACTTCTTCCTCCCAAGATGTGCCAAGACACACTGGTCAGCTATATGTTTAGCACTGTACATTCAATTCTAGTCCAGTGAGGCAAAATGTGTTCACTATTCCCAGCAGATAGAGATCCAGAAAGGAAAACATTTTACACACATAGGATAGAATTCAACATTGTGCTAATTTGATCATTCTTTCAATGCAACCATTTCTTCCTTCATGCACTATTCTGGGGGTTCTCCTGACCCAGAGCAGATTTGGGGGAAGAGGAGAGGGAAGCTCCATTGCAATATTGGGAATCCTTGCCCTGGCATCCACTAGGCTAGGGAACCAGGTTAGTTAAATCCACCCCATAGACCTGAATTTGCATACAGATTAGAGCTAATCCCATACCTTTCAAGGGAACATACTCTTAACATGTGTTTGGGATTAAGGATATAATTTGTTGGATTGCCTTTGTTAAATAAAACCACAGATGGATTTTTAAAACAACATTGCCAATCATATTATTTAAATTAAAGTGAAAACAGTCACTTCCATTGCCAAACATTAAATAAGCTGTTTAATAACAATAGGTAATTAAGTTCTGGTGTTTCCCATCCTTTTAGATTAGCTGGATCTGATTTCCCCCCTTTCGTTGTGTTCAAGATATTTTGCAAGTCAAGAGACCAAAACACCCATTACATCACTGGGAAAAGCGTAATAACAGCAACAAGTGAGGTAACCTATTGGATTTTTTTTTTAATGTTCTGTATCATCTGTTACTTAAGCTTGATACTATAATAAGTTGTTCTTTATATTTAAAACACTACTGTTCTTAATTATGATAACTTTACACCAGCTGTGAGGAATCAGAATTGTAGAATTGGAAGGGATCACGAGGGTCAACAATTCCAACCCCCTGCAATGCAGAAATCTCAGCCCATGGGCCTAAGTAGGCTAAGCAGATACCCTAATTTAGCCAGTGAGGAAGTCAAAGTACTGGGAACCTTGGGAGGAAGTGATCATGTTCTCTTGGGTTTCATTATATAGAAGCAAGGAAAAGCTGAGTATAGTTGGATACCCACTCTGAACTTGAAGGCTGATTTCAGAAATCTTAAGGAACTACTGGGTGAAATGCCATAGTCAGAAATTCTTAAAGAGAAGGGAGTCCAAGATGGATGGGAGTTTCTTAAAGGTGAAATATTGAAGGCACAAATGCAGACAGTTCCAACAAGAGCAAAAAGAAGGGTCCGGAAACCAAGCCTGATGAGGAACAGTTGAGGGAATTGGGTATGATTAGCCTGGAAAATTAGAGACTGAGAGGAGACAAGATAGCTGTCTTCAAATATCTAATGAGTTGTCAAATGGAAGATGGAGCAAGCTTGTTTTCTTCTGCTCTGGAGGGTAGGACTCGAACCAATGGCTTCAAATTAAAAGAAAGGAGATTCCGACTAAACATCAAGAAGACTCTCTGACAGTAAGACCTGTTCAACAGTAGAACGGTCTCCCTCAGGAGGTGGTGGACTCTCCTTCCTTGGATGTTTTTAAGCCAAGGTTAGATGGCTGGCTAACATATGCTTTACTTGAGATTCCAGCAGTGCAGGAGGTTGGTCTAGATGACCCTTGGGATCCCTTCACCTCTACAATTCTATGATTCTTTAGAATTTTTTGAGTTCTTAGTGTTACTGGTTCTAAGACATCAGTTAGTGTACAGATTGCCCTCCCCATCAATACCTGCTTCTTCACATTGTGTTTGAATTTACTACAGTGGTACCTCGGGCTACATACGCTTCAGGTTACATACGCTTCAGGTTACAGACTCCGCTAACCCAGAAATAGTGCTTCAGGTTAAGAACTTTGCTTCAGGATGAGAACAGAAATCGGGCTCCAGCGGCGCGGCAGCAGCAGGAAGCCCCATTAGCTAAAGTGGTGCTTCAGGTTAAGAACAGTTTCAGGTTAAGTACGGACCTCCGGAACGAATTAAGTACTTAACACGAGGTACCACTATATTTGAAATTGTACCCTGCACTTCACATAGTAAGTGGTGTACAATAAAATATTAAGAATATTAGAAACTTACTATATGATGCACACACTTTGTACAGAGATCATATTCATGCTGTTCTTCCCTCTCAAAAACTGATGTGACACTTAGCTCATGATGGAAAGCAGGATGCAGCTACATTTCCTTCATGAGACTAGGATTATTTTCCACTAAGCTTTTGAACCGTGCCTTAGAAAATGCATCCTCAAGCTCCTATAAAATTTTCAGATACAAAATTGATGCACTTTTGATTATAATGGTATAATCAGGCTGAGCTTTGTGTTGAATGCATGAGGATTTCAGAATGGTGATTTAGGGTAGAGTTACAGTGACACTGAGGCTCTTTCTATATTTTCTGATGATTGATAGGCGGCTGTTGATGCTTGCAAATTAATGGGATACCGGACGTATTATAATCAGATACTGCAGGATGAACTTCAGCATAAGAAATATGGAATAACAGAGGAGTTAGATGTGGCTACAATAAGAGACCACGTACAAGTAAGCAATGATTATGTTCTCCGCCCCTTATGCCATAATTAATTAATCTGATAATGAAAAAGACCGAACACGTGGGAAGGGTTGGAGGAGGGAATGAATGAGCCTGAGACCTGCTTTCAGTCTCACTTGGGAAGAGGTTTGGAGGAAGATCTGAACAGCCCCAAAGTCAACTTAAATACAACACTAGTAAGAGCAAGGCAACATCATATTACCACATACACTGTGATTATATGTGTGTATTTGTAAAATTCAGTTCAATCCAGGCAACAGATCCTATAGAAAATATTATGTTAGCAGTAATAATATACAATGCAACCCTACATATTTTAGAAGTAAGTTCCACTGCATTCAGAGGGACTTACTTCACAGAACTGAAGCCTTAGGATTCACTTTCTTGGCTGATAAAATGGAAGAATTGCAGTAAAGGGGGTAGTTTACAAAAGATAACCAGAGAATCCTAGTACAACTTTCTCATACATATTGTTCTTTCATGACTGTCTAGTATAGCAATCTCATGGATGAGGTTCCAGCATACTATGGTGGCAGACATAACTGCTGGAGAAGGCTGTCTTTACATGATTTTCCCAGATCAATGATTGTGTATGACATCATGGACTATGCACAGTCTGGGAAGCTATCTTCCAGACTTAGGATGGAATTGCCATTTCTGCTGCTGAGGCCACAGAATGAAGAAACGTGTCGTGCTCAAATCATGGCTATTTGTCAAATCAGGTAAATCAGAGCTTTCCAAACTCCTCATGTTGGTGACACGCTTTTTAGACATGCATCATTTCACGTCATAGTAATTCAGTTTTACTAGTAAAATGCAGATTAAACTAACCCCTTTACAGCCCTGGGAGGAGTGCGGAGAGCGTTCACATGACACATCTACACACTGCAGCCAACACGCTAATGTGTTGCGACACACAGTTTGAAAAACTCTAGGTATATCATATCAGCTGCCATGTTTGATAATTTGGACCTGGTTTCTTCCCTTGTGTTTGTATGTGTGTGTGTAAATAGAAAATAAAGGTGTGAAATTACAGTTTCCATTCTGCCTTGGCCACCCAATGTGTGCTGCTTTTTAATATCAGTAAAACACAGATGTAGCACCTGCACTCCCATATCCTGAGACAGATGAGGGAAGGCTGGCAGCCAGACTTCTTCTATTCACAAAGCCACTAAAGCAGCAGGCCTTGTGAGATACATTGTGTACCGTAGCCCTGATCCTGCATTCTGGGAAACCAATTTCAGCATGATCCTGTCCCAGAATTTATGCCCAGCAGACAGAACAGGATCACTCTTAAATCCCACGCTCCCATCAGAGTCCCAAGATACACTGGCACAGTAAACTCGACAGTTTACCACATTTCACAGACCGTCATAGAATTATTTCAAAGCACCAGTTTCGGCAAACGCTTAATGAGCATTCTGCATACTTGAGAGAAATCATTAAACAAGATGGCCTAAATTTTGCACACATCCACACACACAATATTCCCCAGCCACTCTGGGCGGCTCCCAACAGAATATTATTAATAATACAGTCATACCTTGGGTTAAATATGCTTCAGGTTGAGCGTTTTCAGGTTGCATTCTGCGGCGACCCGGAAGTAACTGAACAGGTTACTCCGGGTTTTGCTGGTTATTACGCAGACGCTCAAAATGATGTCACACGCATGCGCAGAAGCGGCAAATCACGATCCGCGCACGCGCAGACATGGGTTGCATTCTGCTCAGGATGCAAACGGGGCTCCGGAACGGATCCCATTTGTATCCAGAGGTACCACTGCAAAGACAATGTCCATGACTGATATGGAATGGAATGTTTATTTGAAGGCAGGTGTTCCCCCTTCTGGATATAGATAAGCATTGCTCTGGCCTCAGCTGTCCACTTACAGCTCTTAGTTAATACATTATTTTATTTTATTATATATTATGATCTAAACAATTACACATCATGTTTAGTTTTATAGCAGCTATGTATTTAAAGGGCTTTCCATGTAATGCTAAATGGCTCAGCTCCCATTAGTTTATTTTTTAACATGGTTTCAATGTAAAATATATTTGTGATAGTTTCAGTATTTTGATAATATGATACAGAAGTGTATTTTCATGTTGCTTTGGTTTTGTTGATTTAAATGTTTCATAGTGTCAGTGATAAATATATTTGTTTAATACTGACAACAAATGTGCAAGCATTACAGTGCAGTTATGACTACTCATTCATACTGGTGAAACCTAATGCTGCACCCATTAAAACATTTTTAAAGTTGTAGTCCTATGCACACTTAATTGGGACTAAATCTAGATTAACTTGGGGACGGTTTGTTGAATAGGCATGCCTAGGATTACACTGTAAAAGAGGAATTTCCTTATTCTATAGTGAATGCTGATAACATTTTAATTCTGTACAATTGTGTGGGGAAATTGTTTAAAACATTGTTTTCCCTCCAGAACTCCACCACAAATTCCCACAACTGCAATCTTCTCAAGACTGAGTAGAAAATCAGCACCTAGAACTGGGCGTCGCTCTTACCAAGCTCAGAAGAAGAATGCAAAAATGAGGAAGGCTTATAGCCTTGAGAAACAAAGAGAGGTGAGCATGTTAAAAGAAAAAGAAATTTTCTGATCAAATGCTGATAAATCTCACAGCTAAGATTCTACTAAAAGGTAAAGGTAAAGGTACCCCTGCCCGTACGGGCCAGTCTTGACAGACTCTAGGGTTGTGCGCCCATCTCACTTAAGAGGCCGAGGGCCAGCGCTGTCCGGAGACACTTTCCGGGTCACGTGGCCAGCGTGACAAAGCTGCTCTGGCGAGCCGGCACCAGGGCAGCACACGGAAACGCCGTTTACCTTCCCGCTAGTAAGCGGTCCCTATTTATCTACTTGCACCCGGGGGTGCTTTCGAACTGCTAGGTTGGCAGGCGCTGGGACCGAGCAGCGGGAGCGCACCCCACCGCGGGGATTCGAACTGCCGACCTTTCGATCGGCAAGCCCTAGGCGCTGAGGCTTTTACCCACAGCGCCACCCGCGTCCCTTAAGATTCTACTAGTCTGTCTTAAAGAGCTTTTATTGTTTCCCCCCCTTGGGATGAACTTAATAAGACAGTTCTAAGATTATGACCAGGGTAACTCTACTTGTTCTACATAAATGCCATCAGAAAGGTGAGGACAACAGCATAACACTATGTCTAACTAATTGTTCTTGATCACCTATGCTGAGGAACGTTTGTGTAACTCACTAAATAAAGAGCCAAAAAAGTTTGTATTTTACTGATCCTATCATTTTTATTTTGTTTTAATTTTATTAAAAGGCATTTAGACATATTAGAAATCCATCTCCATAATTTTAAAACAGCACATTTGTAGCTTTGGCATGCAAAAAATGCAGGAATTAACGTGTTAGTAAGCAACCTCACTTGCTAGATCTCAAGGGGTTGGCTGCAGTCCTTAATTGTTATAGACCTTCTAAAGAAACACCTGGTGTTTGAGATCTACTTCTAACTAAGTGGCAATGCAAAAGGACCCCTGGACGGTTAAGCCCAGTCAAAGGCGACTATGGGGTTGCGGCGCTCATCTCGCTTTCAGGCCGAGGGAGCCGGCATTTGTCTGCAGACCGCTTTCTGGGTCATGTGGCCAGCAGGACTAAACTGCTTCTGGTGCAACAGAACACTGTGACGGAAACTAGAGTGCATGGAAATGCTGTTTACTTTCCTACTGCAGCGGTACCTATTGATCTCCTTGCACTGGCATGCATTCAAACTGCTAGGTTGGCAGGAGCTGGGACAGAGCAATGGGAGCTCACCCCGTTGCAGGGATTCAAACCGCTGACCTTCTGATCAGCAAGCCCAAGAGGCTCAGTAGTTTAGAAAATAAGCTCTGCTTAGTAAGTTACATTCTGCAACAAAACCTGCAATAGGGCCCTATTGAAGGACACCATCCTGGTTGCTGCAACATAGCCTAGGAAGGAAGATTAGTGCAGACACTGCTGAAGTGTCCAATCCAAGACTCTTATGTTTGTTTGTTTGTTGTTTGTTTGTTTGTTTGTTTGTTATTATGGGCGGGTTCAACTAAATGAACAAAAACTGCTAGTGCAACAGGGTTCCCCCCCCCTTTGTGTGCCCCTATGACTTCCCCCAAATTGGCTCTGTGAACAGTGCACAGGGAAGGAGGGAGATGGTTCCATTTGGAAAGCAAAAATTATTGCACTGATGGAATGATCACCCTCATCCCACACTAAATTCCACCTTATAGTGCAACATATACAATGGATTCTGTTTAGGAGTATGAGGCTAAACAACTAAGCTGTGATTTCTTCTTAGAATAATCTATACTTGGTTATTTTGGAGCAGATGCTGAGAACTTCATCGTTGTTAAGTGACCATTCAGACTCCATAGTCACTGAAGAGTCAAGCCATGAAAGTCATTTGTCAGATGAAGACTGGGAGCACGAGGCAGTGAAGCTATACAACTGGGCCAGATCCCTACGAGTGGAAGATATTGGGGGAGACTAACCCATGATAAAACTTATGTCCCCTTCCATTTCTTCTGTTTGAATCACTGAATTGTATAAAACAAATAATTTGTCCTGATGTGTGTAATTTTCTCCTGTCATGCTGCAGACATGAAGAACATGAATAGCATGTGAATAATTACTGTCTGGCTTTAGGAAATTCATGGTGCAACAATTTATTGTGCTAAAGCAACGATGGTGGTTTCATTAGCAGATAAGAGGGAAGGTAACATGACCTATAGGGAGAGAAGCAGAGTTATTTATCCTTAGAACCCACATGGACAACTTTGAAAAGAGAGTAATAGTTTCCCTTTCTGAATTACAGCTAAGGGGGCACCAAGAGAGAAAGTTGGTGTATGATCTCCATTTTAAGTCATATTCAGGGTAGATCCATTTTGCAAGATAAGTATTTATTTCAAGGGGTCTACACTGAGCATGACACAGCAGGATATTGCCTGGTAAATTGCAATGTTAATCTAGTGTCCATTTTAACATAGTCATTTGTGCTTGCTTATCAATTGGGCTGAATGTTTTAAATAAACAGTAGGTCAACCTGCTTGACCCATAGAAAAGAAGAACTTGAAGTATAATACACAATGGACAAAGTACCTTAAAGATTAAAAATATTTTATTTACATTTTTATATATACAATTTTTACACATTAGTTTAAAAACAGAATAGAGTACATATGCATCACTGAACATAATGCATTCACAGCATGAGAGAAGTTAATGTTTGGAAACAGGTGGGAAGAAAAAATGTTTTTAGAAAGTTAAAAAGGACAGATCACAGAATTTCATAGCAGCTCTGGGAACGTTCCTGGAAAAAGTACCCCAACACGCACATTTGAGTTTGTGTATATGTTTGAACAAAGTACTTCCATTTGATTCAGCACAGTTAGAAGATAGCTTTCCAAGTTAACTTGTCAAGACCGTTGTTCATGAAACCTCTGCCAACTCATTCAGAACAGTAGTAAAGCAACAGTAGAATTTATGCCATATAGGGATATGCCACTGCAGCCCGGCAACCTTTTCACCAGGAATGCAGAAAACCTGTGGCTCTCCACATGCTGTTAAGATGCCCAATCTCCATCAGCCCCAGCCATCACATTTTAATGATCAGGGTTTGTGGGAGTTGTGCTTCAACATTTGCAGACCCATAGTTTGCTTTACACTAGTACTCTTTTCCAGACTTCCAATGGCATTAATATTAATAGTAAAGATTACCAGTTATTGAGATTATAGCTGGAATCCTGATCCTAAATACTATAATTTGGAAAGTCCACCAAAGCAATCCAGAATTATTAATCCAGATTTCTGTCTGTTTTTCTCTTTGCTACACTATTTGGAACAAAAACTGCCACTGATAAGAGATCACACTATACGAAAACTAAGATTTTCAATCCCTATCACTTTAATGATACAGTACATATTGTTTTACAGAGACATAAGCTCACCCTTAATTGGCTTTTACAGTTTACACCATGTATGGGCAATCTTGATGCTACAATGCCCATTCTCCAGTTCAGAGTTCGCAATGTTTGTTCTCTCCAGAATAAAAGTATTCTGAACATTAGCAAGTTCTGTGACCAGGATTTAATAAGAAGAAAGTATTTCTCCCTTTAACTATTATGAAACAAGCAAAAAGACTTAACAGTGATGGAGTTCTACAGTATCATCCCAATTATTGTTTTTTAAGTTGGACCCCATCCGCATGGTTTCTAAATGACTTAGTTTCTAGCAGTGACTAATGGCTTAAGCAGCATCATACTAAATAAGTCTAGTTTTATGTATGCTATAACCTTCCAATTCTAGCTTTATCCTTTTTCTCAGCTACCATGCTTGGGGGGAAAGTTGTGTCAACACAAACACTGCTTTATCTAGGCTCAAATTATGATTGCAGACCTTTTCATCTATTAAATGGTTGGCTTATTTCGCTAAAATGCTAGAGTCAACTTTTCCATTAGTATAAAACATCTGTAAACTCATTGGAGAGCCACTGGTCCCTTAAAAAGCATTAGGAGCAGCCACTTCTTTCCCAGTTTTGTTTCCCTACAGTTGATGTACCCCACATGCCCCCCCTTTCTACTGAAACGTATGAGCCATACATATATCTTTACAGTCGTACCTTGGTTTTCGAACAGAATGTGTTCCAGAAGTCATTTCGACTTCTGAAACGTTCAGAAACCAAGGAGCAACTTCCGATTGGCTGCAGGAGTATCCTGCAGCCAATCAGAAGCCACGGAAGCGGCGCCAGATGCTTGGCTTCCGAGGCAAAGTTTGCAAACTGGAACACCTACTTCCAGGTTTGCGGCATTCAAGTTCCAAGTTGTTCAAAAACCAATGTACTTAAGCTCATGTTAAACAAATTCCTTTCAGAACCCGAGGGCTTAAGTATGTGTTGGATTGTGGTTACTGGCTGTATGGAGTTTTTATGTTTTATGCCCCTTGTTTTGGCACCAGTTAAACAGGTAGCTGAAGCACCAGTACAAATGAAAACCATTGGGCTTAAACAAAGTATTGAGCCTTTTTTAATGAGCCTAGACTAGTCTGCCTGGTACTTGACAAATTCTAGTCCATAATAGGAAATGTGTTGAGAATAAAAGGAAAAAGATGCAAGGAACTGATGCCAGAGAACTAGAATTTTGAACTAAAGAAAAGTTGGTGCATCCTTTTCTCTTATAATAAGCAAACAAACTCAAGTAATGCACAGACGTTCTAAGAACATACTATTTGTTTCTGGCATCATAGGCAAAGCCAAGATAGTAGGCTAAATATCACTAACACACACTCCAAGTTGACAAATATTTCTTAACCTTATACAAGAGAAAAGAATACCATCCTTTAGATTTGAAACTGGCTTGATTTTGCTAGATGCTTGGTTTTGGTTAACCTGGTACATGGGGTGATGATAATAAAAACAAATAAACACATACAATTAAACAAATCCAGTGTAAACAAGATAGGAATCGAATAAAATAAGGCTGCAATTTCATGCAGACTTACTTGAGGTTAAGCCCCAATTCATTAGGACTTCCAATAAAACATGTATGGAATTGGGCTTCTTAAACAGTTGCACTG